TTCTACAACATACTACAACTTGTTATCAAGGAAACATGGATCATTCCATTAACTATGAAACCACTTCTTCCCACTGTCCCCTGCTCTTCACCCAGGCACCCTCATACCTTGCTCTGTTCCCTTAGATGGACTCAAGCATCTGCTTTGGTCCCTGTCTGTGTGCAACACTTCCCTCTCCAGCAGGAGTACCCTACCTCTGCTGTACTTGGAGGAAAAAAGCTCTCTTTTTTTTCTTCTGTCTCTTTCTAGGACAGGATTGTGTGCAGTGTCTCTCTCTTGCTGGCTCTTTCACACCTTTGCCAGGCAACGGTAAAGATAACATCTCATCTTTTTTTTCCCTGTAGAACACTTTTATTCAAAGTGCTTGTTTGTATAAGAATGTGCTAACCTGATAAAGATGCATTCATTTCTTTTTCGCAAGTCTTTTTCCATTTATAGGTTCACCATTTTTGTTCAGCTACCCTTGAATCAGTATGGGTGAGCAACAAACCTTCACCAATTTGTGTGTATTATGATTTCAGGAGGGAAATGGTATATGCAGCAGGAACTGCGATCCTTTTCTGTCTGAGTGTGAATTCAGAGATTCCCAACAGCTGACTTGCCAAGGTTAAGCGAGCTCCATCAGTCCCAGTTTGGAAATAGAATACTTTCTTCCATATTATTAAAAGCAATCTCTTAGAAACAGGTCTTTCAGGTAGGTTACCAGAGAGATATGCCTCTACATTGTTGTAGCTGAATGCAGGTTATAGGTTATGCTTATTTTATAAGTAAAAACTTGTCACAGTTATAAGAACTGACTCGGCATTTGATGTATTCATAACCCGACAATGCTGCTGCTGTTACTGTTGTGTGATCCGGTGGGCTGTGCAATAAGCTTTGCTCTGTAACTGGCGATTCCGCCGGGGCGGCAGAGGCTGCCCGCGAAGTGGTCTGTGCTGCAAGTCTTTTTCCTTCAGCATGCCTGACACAACTGTGCTCTGACTGGGAGTGGGGCTGGGCAATAATAACAAATCAAGAGATGTGAGCTAAAAAAAGGTGCCTGGGGAGGACCTGGGTCAGAGAATGAAGTAACTGGAGTGATTTCTGCTGTATAGAAGTCAAAAAGAGGAAAGACGTGTGGGAGCTCGTGGCTGCCAGGGCCTGTGGCATTGCAGTGTTGCATCTCAGTGCTCTGTCAGCGTGCGCCCCGCTCCTTCCAGCTCCCTCCCCTCAGCAACAGCCCTTCATTTATTGCTCTCACAGATGTATTCCTGGCTCTCCCAAGTGACCCATTCCCCCAGTTAGAGAACTGCTCATCTGAAGTGAGGTCTGAGGAAGAGTTGCAGTTTACTTGGGAGGATTGCAGCTTCCTCAGTAGCTTGGGCTTAGGTTTTCTTGCTGCAGAATTGGAACTTCTCGTGGTACTGCACTGGGGACATACAAATCATGGAGCTCTAAGCAGGAGCAAGTCTACTGCTCCCATGGCTTAGCCTACAATTCACAGCTAGTGCTCTGGGTAATGTATTCCCCCAGATGAGATGCTGTACCCCTCACCTGTCAGTTGACATGGTGGGAAGAAAAGCTGAGGCTGTCTTTGAAGGGTCTGGAGAACAAGTCTTATGAGGAGTGGCTGAGGGAACTGGGGCTGTTTAGCCTGGAGAAGAGGAGGCCGAGGGGAGACCTCATCACGCTCTACAACTACCTGAAAAGAGGTTGTAGCGAGGTGGGGGTTGGTCTCTTCTCCCAAGTGACAAGTGATAGGACAAGAGGAAATGGCCTCAGGTTATGCCAGGGGAGGTTTAGACTGGACATTAGGAAAAATTTCTTTACTGAAAGAGTGGTCAGGCCTTGGAACAGGCTGGCCAGGGGAGTGGGTGAGGCACT